GATGGTGATAATGATGATAATGATGATGATTATGCTGATGATCTAGTGTAAATGGTGATAATACCAATGATAGAGTCTACTTAATACTCACCAGTTGCCAGTGTTCTATAGAAGCTTTACATTTGCCATCCATCTCAGGGTCATTTTTGTGGTCAATAAGACAAGGAAGAACACCTTCAGAATCACCTTGGTTCACAACATCCTGAAAATAACCCCAATCTTCAGTATACAAAACACTATCAACCACATCATGGAGATCAGAGAGCTACTACACCACTACAAGTACAAGTATGAGTTGGACTTTGCCATTTGAATCTTGTACTCTCAACGACAACTTTTCCAAAATCTCAAAGTGTGCACAGCAACAGCACTGGTATCCTAAAAATTGTGCATTCTGATTGGCTGTGTGAGTAGGTGGTATTTTCTATCTTTGGCCGTGCTCTGATATCCTGACGTAAGGTTTACTTCATCCAGACATGTACACAGGATAGAGTGGATAACTGCATATCCGTAAACAAATTTACAAACAAAATCGTACAAATTAGTGCAAAATTTGGGCTACGGTCTACTGAGGTCTACTGAACTTACTAATTTGTACAAATGTGTGCAAAGTTTTGTAGGTCTACGGTCTACTGAGGTCTACTGAACTTACTNCTACTGAGGTCTACTGAACTTACTAATTTGTACAAATGTGTGCAAAGTTTTGTAGGTCTACGGTCTACTGAGGTCTACTGAACTTACTAATTTGTGCAAATGTGTGCAAAGTTTTGTAGGTCTACGGTCTACTGAGGTCTACTGAGCATACTAATTTGTACAAATTTGTGCAAAGTTTTGTAGGTCTACGGTCTACTGAGGTCTACTGAGCTTACTAATTTGTGCAAATTTGTGCAAAATTTTGTAGGGGTACGGTCTACTGAGGTCTACTGAACTTACTAATTTGTGCAAATTTGTGCAAAGTTTTGTAGGGCTATGAGGACTACTGAACTTACTAATTTGCGCAAAATTTGTACAATTTCTTACGATACACATGGACATATGGTATGCACTCTAACAGATTTATAAACATCAAAACAAATCGTAAAACAAGTGGAAAGGTAAATGGGGACTATATAATATCTCACCTCACAAAATTTGGTCACCATTCCTGTACACATGCGTACTAGTGTTTGATCAAGCTGATAATCCTGTGAATAGACAGACAAAACATCAAATATAACAAATATTTTCACAGCGCATTAGAGATTTAGATTGTGCTTCTTCAAGCATATTTTTCATGGGGAAAAAAAGCACAGATTTGAATCCTGCCTGTAGCTGGGAGTTTTTTTCTGAGAAAAATATGCTTGAAGAAACACAAAACAAATCTGTTAAGTCCAAGTTCAAACACTGTTGAGGATTTGCTGTATACAGAAAGTAAAAACCTGCATAAATGAACCAGTAGGTTTAGAAACCCGCAGGCTGAAATTTACTGACCAATTTACTCCATAAAGCACCCAATATACAAGAACCAATTGAGCCTGACAGGTTTTTATGTGAAAGGTATAAAGCTTTGGCAAACATGTACAAAACATGTTGTAAAGGTTACAGTGCGACTACTCCAACCAAAGCCACCTCGACAAATTTTCTACAAATTAGCCAATCAAAAGTAGGAATCTGAACAATAGAATTGCTACAAATGGGACAAATATCCATGGGTTTACACGGCTTAGAAGACTGCCGGCACCTTTGTTGTGGAATATAAACGTGCTGTCACATAGTAACATAGTGATAAGATCTAACAGTGTCAGCCTGATAATATCTTTGTCTGGAAGAAATAAACTGTAATCATAAAGACTGTGTTTTATTTGGTCTCTAGTTTGCTTTCCTGCCGTATTTGAAGTCGTACATTTCTATTTTTCTATATCTTTGGTGACACGAATCACTAATTTGCGAAGAAAATATATTACAAGCTCTTCTTCATCATTTAGTTTCACCAACCGGAACGACGGAAGAATATTTAAATTCAAAATTTGCCGTTAATCTATTGTCTAAATACTCAAACACTATTGGATAATTTGCGGAAAATTTGTCGAGGTGGCTTTGGTTGGAGTAGTCGCACTGTAAATGGGACTATCGTTAATGTTTAATATAAATAGAAGACCTTCCAGGGTCAACAGCTCACTTACTAAAAAAGCAGGAGAATTTGTTGTTGGCTTGTAAATAAGGAGCTGTTAAGAACCTACTAAGGCTGATCCCTACCTCCCCCCCCCCCCCCCCCCCCCCAGAGGAATTTGGAATTTCATAGGGCTAGTGAGGGTCAGAGAAATGACAAAATTACAGAGTTTATATGGAAGAAAATATGGTAGGGGGATCTTTAAAAGTATTGTGATTCACTAAATAGTCTCTTATATTTTTGAGACAATATTTTGTGGTATTGTCGTTTCAAAATTAAGGTTTCTGATTGGCTAATGACAGATGAAAATGAAAGCTTGAGCACACTCGCGTCAAATTTTTACGCTTGTTGTTTGCGCCATAGCGCCACTCATGAGGAGAATTTCACTTTTAATCAAAGAAAATCAGTCAGTTTTTTTTYCCTTTTTTGTGAGTTAAATTCTTTAGAATCGCGATACAAAACTAATTACAATTTTAAGAAAACAATACCACGAAATATTGATGGCGTTGGACCCAACTAGCCATCAATATTTCGTGGTATTGTTGTCTCAAAATCGTAATTAGTTTACAAAATTCCTCCATGGGGGAATATACGGATAATTTCTGGAATTACACCATGTACCTTTATCTACTCTATAAATTAATTTGATAGATGGCAGTTTATTGCTGATTAACCTGACACAACTGTTGTCTCAATCTGTGCGTATGAATGAATACATATGATATTAGATGAAACAGTACCTCTCCTTCTTGCTCAGTAAAGTTACCGATAACTGATCTACATTTATGATCCAACTCTTCAAGGTGAGTTTGCAGACACTCTACTTCCTAAAACAGTAAAAAGATCATTAATTTTCATTAGATAAGACATAGTAAAGCATGGCTGGTGTGAGGCTGGTGACCCAGGTGTAACCCCTACTGGGATTGGTGTTGAGTTTGTTGCTTCACTCCTATGCTTTGAGGGTTTTTCTCTGGGTTCTCTGGTATTCCTCCCTCTGCAAAAATCAACTYCTACATTCAAATTTGAACAGGACACTATAAAAATTATAAAAGTTATATTTTGGCTGAAAAACCGTATAATATATGTGTGTGTGTGTGTGTGTGTGTGTGTGTGTGTGTGTGTGTGTGTGTGTGTATTTTTACCACCTTTTACAAAGCCTTCTTTTTCTTGCTTTCTTCTCATTTTGTCAAGTAATTCAGTTTTTCTCTCTCTCGCATCTTCAGAATTACGTTTTTGAAAAAACGCTAGAGAAGCCAGAAAAACTAATGAAGGGAGAGACACACCAAGCTCTGCACACATGTTGATGTCAAGTCCAGGAAATGAACCCACTTCTACTAGAAGCTACAATTGTGCAGGATTCTCGCAATAATATTCAAGGAGTACTCAAGGACCAAAATGACAAATTTCAAGGAGTATTACATGCTTGAGAATACAATAATTTGTATTTGTATAATAATTTATTGTGTGCAAAACAGTTACGTGTAAACAACTAGATAACCATTGTCATTTTCTTGTGGGAATAACAAGATAACCATGTCAAAAGGCTTTTGTTTTCTGCTGCTTTCTGATTGGCTCCACTACCAAAAGTTGGAATGCATTGTTTTTATTCTACAATTTGATTGGTTCTTACTGTCCAAGTGGCCCCGATTATAGTAATTCACATAATTTAATATCATTTATCATAATTATGTTACCTGTCCTTTTTCAATCTGTTGGCTGCAGTACTTGGCCAGTTCAGGCATACAGGATTCCTGTACTTCTGGTATCAAGTGGACATCAAGTGCTCTCTGGTGCATTACTCGGCGAACATGCTGGGCACAATCTGGTGAAACCTACACACAAAAAACTTTCTAATGAACCTGATTCCAAAATGGAGCATTCTAGATTTACTAACTCCCACAATTTAGAAATAATCATGGGAAGATGGTCCACACGCAGAACCCAGTGAGATAGGCAAGTGTGTAGCAAGCTTACTGACAGGAATTCTCGTGTTTGAGTAACATGCAAAATTGAAAGATATTACATATAATCAAATTTCGAGGAGTTTTTTTATTGCTACATGCATGGTAACACCAATTCATAAGGAGTGTACATCACTTTGAACTTCCATCCTATGGTCAATGTTTGACCTAAAAATCAGATCAATCCAAACAAGGCAAATTGGCTATGGTTGAATTGAAAATCAAGAGCGTGGTCTGGAAAAAAATTACCGCAAACCACCTAAACAGATCTATGACTAAGGCCCAGTTTTCAGTGATGCAAGCCAATTAAAGCACAAGTCAATGTTAGAAAAAAATATTCAGTTATGGTGCGCTTGCATCGCTTCTATTCATAGTAAGAACATGCACTAGCTAGGAGTTGCGTCTGCTTGTGTTGAGAGAGCCAGGTTTAAAAGTAAACATGAGGTGCTGGACAAAAACATATCATCTAACCATCAAATTAACAAATAGCCAAGTGGATCCGCACACTACTTTGACAGTGTGATGACAAAATTTATCGTCAATAAGAGGACAGACACATCAAAAATGGATGTCTATGTTTTTAACAATAACAAAAACAATAAAACTTCTCATTTTTAGTGATCAAAACAACCAATGGAAAGAGCGTGCGCTCGTTGACGTCAGCTTTATCTGTCTGTCCTCTTATTGATGATGAAAAATAACCAATCAATGGGCGAGAAATTTGTAAGTTATTGTAAAACATACCTTCCCCCCTTGGCCTGAGTTTCTGTACAGACAAGACACAACCATCCCAGTTGGTAGCTCATCAGATTCTTGGTTCCAGGCAGGAGCATGACAGTGTTCTTTGGCATCACTCTTACAAGCTTGATAGAGATCTGGATCCAATCTGAAAACAATGTGAAACAAGAGACAATGTTTGATGAAAGTATTGTAAGACTTTGCACCGTCATGTGATGGTAGCCATAACAAGAAGCTACAGTATTAATCAATTTTAATTTCTGCATAACTTAACTAATATATCATAGATTTTTTWAAAATGTGCATATTATCTAAAGCTGCTGACACATGGTGCAACATTGCATGCAACAGGACTGTTGCAGCATGTCTACCCCAAACTTGTTGCACGCAACATTGCATGCAACAATTTATAACTGCTGACCAAATATCTTAACATAGCAGGCTGGCACATGCAATGTTGCATGAATTCGTTGCAATGTGTGTCACCCCGATTCAAATTTGTTGCTTGCATTGTTGCATGCAATTTTGCATGCAATGTTGCATCATTTGTCAGCACCTTAAAGCTTACAGAAGCTAATTTAGTTTAGACAACAAATTATTTATCTACTTTAATACTTAATATTTTTGTATGTATTGTCCAATTTGTACAAAGATTATTGTTGTTGTCAAAGTACAATGATAGAGATGACTTCAGACATCATTTTAACCATAGCAACAGAAAGTATAAAGCTAACGAACCTGAAATCTCTTGAAATGAAGAACTGTAAATGTAACAACTGCTCTCGGCATTCATGGTTCATTACATCAGAATTGAGGTGCTCCATAAGACAAGAGAGAACCCTGCAAGTAAGAGAATTTTGTTAATAGTCTATTTAGGAGATCAGGTTTAGTATGCATAGAGCGTATACCATATATCCATGAAAAACTTTGTAAGAAATTGCACAAATAAGTAAGTTCAGTAGACCTCAGTAGAACATAGACCTACAAATCTTTGACCATTTTGACTGGTAACTTTGAACCAGAAACACGGTATGATCGAGTTATGATGACCGTTATGACTAATTTGTTGGGGGGTCATGACTGACAACTGACTGACCGTTATTTTCAGCCCTTAAAGGTGCTAGTAGCATCATACTACTTACATGATATCCCCTTCTTTCTTGCCCTTATCTTTACATGTTGCCTGCACCACTGGTTCACAAGCCATATACAGGGTGTGGTCAATACGATAATCTCCACCAGCACGCGTTTCTTTCAACAGCGTAGCAACAGCTTTCTCACACTTCTGGCTGATACTTCCCTGCTCTGCAAGTTTCATCAAGCAATCCAAGGTCTTTCCTTCTCTCTCTTTCCCCTGGCTGCATTGTTTTTGTATCTCATCTTCACAGCTTATTACAATCTCAGGATTGATCTTGTAGTCTTCCATTAATTGGCGGCGGATCTCAAAAAGTTCTGATTGACATTGATTATCTACGGGCTTTCCTGAATAGATAAGATAGGATAGATAAATAGCTGAACTGGGTAATTTAAGGACATGCTTAATAGGTAAATTACGAGCCTTGTATGAAACGACTGAAGAAGAGGGCCAATAAGCCTTTCACAACTTCAAGTCATGTAAAAAATGAGCCAGCTCAACTATAAACCATGGACAGCTGTTTTGGCCTGTATTGGGCCTCATTAGAACGGTGTATCTAGTGAGCAGGTAGAATCCCACAATAAAGTAGTACATGATAGATGAGGCAGTAAGCAGTGTGAGATGGCCTCGGAAATCATATAAGAACATACGTAATAGGTAAATTACGAGCCTTGAATGAAATGAGGTGCGGGCAGATGGATGCAGGGCTAAAAATATGGCCGGACATCAAATGTCTTGCTGGCACCAAAATTGGAACTTGTCTGGTCAAATCTTTTCCTTGTAAGTCATTTTGATCAGTAGTGTTGAGCCAGGAATGAGGTATGACCGAGCTAAAACTACTTTAGCCAATCATCATGACCAGCAACTGACTGTCAGCTGTTATATTTTTAGCCTTGTGCATGTGTGGATGGATGGATTGGATAGGTAAGATAGATGAACAGAATATTACCCTTATTGAGAGTATCTTAGGAAAGATAAACGACTGAACTGAGTGTATGGGGCGGCAGAGGAATAAATGGATGGATAGATGGATGGGATAGGTGGAATAGATCAATGAACAGGAATCTTACCATCATTCAGAGCATCTTAGGATATTACAGGTAGATAAACGACTGAACTGAGTGTATGGGAGGGCAGAGGGATGGATAGATGGATTGATGGATGGGATAGGTATAAATCAATGAACAGGAATCTTACCATCATTGAGAGCTTCTTCTAAACAGAGAAGAACGCCAGCCAAACTTCCATGGGGTGATTTGGCTCCCACATCGCACTTGTATTCATTCTTGTACCTCTCAATGTCTGCTTCACAATTTTTCAAAATCCCATAGTCTGCCTACAGAAAATCAAAGAAAAAAGGCTCTAAAACCCCTTCAAATCCCTCTGTTCTTGATTTTACAAGGGTAGCAAACAAACTAACTCCGCCATGGCCGGTCCCAAGCCCGGATGAGAAAGTAGGAGGGTTGGGTGAAGGACTAGCAACCCTTCCCTGTAGAAACCAAAATGGAAACATCACCCACAGAGAAACAATCAGCTCTGTGGCGTTCAGATGTTGTTGATGGCGTATACCCCACGAGGGATGTAAAGGCTTAGGAAGAGGAGGAGCAAACAAGCTAACAAACCTGTGGCCCTTGTTCCATGATTGAATTTGAACTTAGGAATTGATTTTTGTGGAGGGAGGAAAACCGGAGAGCCAGGAGAAAAACCCTCCAAGCACAGGAGAGAACCAACTTACATACTTACATACCATGAGTCCAAGGATCAACTCAGGTTGCATTGGTGAGTGAAATAATAATAGTTAATAATTACTATTAATATCTGAATGACTAACCTTATAATCATGAGACTCCACTTTCTGTCTGACCGTCAATGCAGCTTGACACTACAACAGAATAAAACAACATTAAAATGCAACCTTAGAATATTTATATTTATTTATTATATTTATATGCCACCCAACGTCAAAATCTGCTTTCGCTTTCCTCACAGCTTTTCCAACAACTTACTTCAGAGTCTGATAAAGTAAACTTTTTTCTACGTGGTTCTCCACATTTAACAAAATCAAAAACTATATGTTAAGTGTATGCTACATTGAGTGTATAAGCAGATTAAAAAATCTGCCTCAGTTAGGTTCTCGCGGGACTTGAACCACTGACCTCTCCTTTGCTACACGAGATCTCAACCACTTGGCCACTGAGGCTTTAGGGGAGAAGGTCATGTTAGATCTATATTTTAATCAAATCTGCRCGTGATATTTTACCCAAAGACTAAAAAAAAATGTTCTTGTATAGAGTAAAGAATGCTTAATGACTTTGTAGATATATTTTCTTTTCCATTGTACTTTTTCAATAACATATATATATATTTCTAATATATTTATTTACTTCTTTTTCTTTTTCTTTTTCCTAAAAACTTCAAAAACATTTTAATTATGTTCTGTGTAATCTCCCACGATGAGCATTGCTCTTGGAGCGAACACAGAGAGTTAATATATTTAAATAAATAACAATTTAAAAAATATTTATCTGCAAGGCTTGAGCCAGTGACACAAGCCTTTAGCAGCACCATCCTAATCCTACCTCTTTGGACATGGTTTCCTCAAACTTGTGGTTCTTTAAACACTGGTAAACCTTTCCTTCACCTGCTGGGACATCATGGCAGAATTTTTCACGGTCATCTCTACATGCATAGTACAAGGGTCGATCAAGATGGTAATCATCGGCAGACAGCTCAGCCATACGAAAGATCTGCTTCTGGCAGGCTGGAGAAAGATTCTCTTGGTGATCCTCTAGACACTCCAGTACCTCGTTTTGGTCATGGATATCCTGGTAATCAGAGGGAAATGTGTGACTATCAAACTCAATCGGATCCAAAGACATGTTCACCTAGGACTTGTCACATTATAGGTGGGCGTATCAACTTTTGAGCCATAAACGATTGAACTTAAGAAATATAAAGAAGTCATAACTGTTGATAATATTAATTTTATCAATTCAATAGCAGTTGCTTCATTAGTTTAGGAGATATAATGAATTAAAATTGCTAAATTTTGCAGTAATTGTAGGTTACATTGACAACATCTTGCCAACCAACATACATTTACTGTCAAATTTCACAACGTTAACTTGAAAACCATCAAGAGAGAAAAAGAGATTTGTCTTCAAATTCTCAGATATCTTCCAAAGCGATAGGGTCTTGCCACTTTTGACGTTTGTTTGTTTATTGCTTGAATTTCCAAGAATTTCATGTTCTTGATCAAAACAAATGACGTCATTGTATGCCCACCTATAGGAGATATAACATGGCTGGGCAGAGATATGGACTGCCTATGGACTTTATCTTCAAGTATTGAGGTGACATCATACAAGTGAGCRCAGCAAATGAGTAACATTTCTCAACACAAGAAGATAAAATCGGTAGCTCCAAGTGGCTTTGTAATATTCTGTTCAATATATAATTACCTCAATACAATTTTTGGTGGATTTTTACTATTTAGTGAGATTTCTAAGAATTCGTACCAAGGGTGTTCTCTTCACATGTGAAAATATCATGTAATATTTATCTTTACGTGTGAAGATATTAAGATGTCACTTCTTATTAATAAAGGACAATAGACATTTCATCAAGGATCACGTCATATCAATCTCTCACTCTAAAACTATTTAATTGAACAATACCTATGCATGCATATTGGTCCCTAGGGTTTACAGTACTTCATTAATATGTATTAGTCCCTAGGGCTTTAAAGTATTCACTGTAATGAAACACATAGAGAGTCATTAAACTGATGATGGACGATGGATATCGTCCGAAATATCTACTCAAGAAACTTCTAGTTATTCTTTTCGTTTATATCAAATTGTATTTTTTTTAATGTACAGGTATGCACATTATTATCAGTTGACTATTTAAGCTTTCACTTTTACTTAGTATTTGATCTCGATAATGAAGCCTGATGATTTTGAAAGTCTATCATTATTATCATTCATGTTTTAACATAACGTATCAAATATATATTTAACAACATTTATTCAGTCAAGCATGTCATGAAATCAGGGGGTCATGAATTGGGGTACCACTCGAGGCATTTGATTTTTCTCCAACATTTTTTCTGTTTATATCTCTTTACTGTGCAGACACACTAACCGGGACCACTTGAATAAAACTGACCAATCAGATAACGGTAAACTAGACAGACATCAAACTGATAACAGTGTTAGCCAATCAGATTATCACGTTCTCACGCTTTTATCATATTGATGTGCTATCTAATTGGCTGATTGAAAATATTGAACTAAATGTCGCAATATGATTGGTTAATGATACTAATTTATCATAATGGTCCTGGTTGGAGTATCCGCACAGTAAGTTAGATCAGCCAGTAACAAGGTATGACTGATCTAAAACTAATTTGGCCAGCCATTGTGACCTGCGACTCACTGGCGATTATTTTTAGCTCTACCCAATATCAAAATTCATTCATTACCTCATCGTCATCTTTTATTGTAATGCGACCACATCCACTTTTTGTAACATCATCATGACAGTGCTCAAAGAATCCTTCAATCAGGTGATAATTGCTGAAGACAATCACTTGCATCTTCGTCAACAAATGATGACATCGGGAATCAGAGATATTCTGTCTGGTATCGAGTAGACATGGTATAAGATGTCCAGATCCTGGTCGATCAGCTTGTTTTTTGCAGTAGGGATTCTAATAAAGAGAAAGAAAACAGATAATCTTCCTAACGACATCTACAAATTAATAGACAAATGGTTTTTAGGTTTCCATCGTAATTATTACAAGGATAATAAAAGCGTTTATTCCATTAGTTCAAAGGCGCTTTTACAATGAGAGGCAATTACAGTCAACTCTCGTTACAGGGGACACCCTCGGCACCGTCACTTGGTGTCCGTAATAGCGAGCGTCCGCAATAGGGAGAATTAATTATGGTCATTTCTTTGTCATTATTTTTGCCGGGGATTTTGCTCCTGTCCGTAATAGGGAGGTGTCCATAATATCAGGGTGTCCACAAGGCAAGAGTTGACTGTAATCATAAAAATAAAACATATAATAAATAAATTTAATGCACTCTTAAACACAATAAACGCTCTTGAACAAAAATATTTTCAGACTACGTTTGAAGATTTCAATGTCATTACTGTCTTTGGCCTGATTATTAATTATCGATATATTCATAATTTATTTATAATTATTCAATTTTTAATTTATTTTTATTTTTATTTAAACATATTTATTCTAACATATTTATTCTCTGCATTTTCTCCAAGAGCTTAAAGCTCATCTAGGGAGATTGCATTTTTAATTTATATACCTGCATACAGTAGCTGTAATTAGTTATTCCTTATTATATTATTTTTTTCTTCTTTCATCTTATTGACCATAAATATTGTATTATCTCATTATCAAAGTAGTGTCCACATACTACTTTTACAAATTGATGATGAAATCTATAGTCAATAAGAGGACAGACACATACAAAATGATGTTGTTTTTTTTGCGATAACAAAAACAGTAAAAACTTCACATTTTTAGTGATCAAAACAACCAACAGAAAGAGTATGCACTGGTTGAAGTCAGCTTACTTTTCTGTCCTCTTATTGCTGATAAAAAAATAGCCAATCAGCAAGCAAGAAATTTGCATTCCATTGTAAAAATTAGCTTTCAATTTGTTGTAATTTCTTATGTAATATATACAGTATAAGTGGCCGTCTTGTATCCGATATACAAACCCGAGGCGTAGCCAAGTGATTGTATATTGGATACAACACGGACGCGAATACTGTAGATTACTTATCAAACGTCTAGGTTAGTTCCTTTGTGTTTTGCTAAAATTTTCAAGATAAAAGTGAATCTGGCCAAGAAAATCCATCTTAAAGTTTATGCAAATGAACAGGATTCTGTATCTGATTTACAAAACTCTTCACAATCGTGATTTCTGTTTTGTTTTCCTCATGAATTATTAATGAGTTTAATAACTTGTTATAACATTATTTGAAGATTTTGTGGGCCAAATCGTAACCCATTTAGTTTATGTATTGAATTTGTCTACCCGCACTAAACTAAGTTTCTGGGCTTAAAATGACAGCCAGTCATCGGACAATGTCAAATTAGAATTGGGACATCAGTCAAATCTTTGCCTTGTCAGTCATTTTGACCAGTAATGTTGAGCCAGAAATTAGGAATGACTTGGCTTGGCCAGACATTATGACTGGCAACTGGCTGGCCGTCACTTTAGCCCTTGAGGTTGTGTGGGTATATATGTATGAAGTTCAAGCATCTACGGCAATTTTGTGTGTAACACCTACAGTACCTTCTCAATTTCTGATTTACACATTTTTCTGGCAGTATTATCAAATCTGCCGTCACATGTCAGGTTCTTCTTGTAAGACCATAAAAGCTGTACAACAAAAAATGGCACACAGTATCAAATTATTGTAGATTCATAGTCTTTAAAATTAAAGAAATCATTGGAGATTTTAGGAGTGTGACAATGATTGATAATAATTTGAAAATTTGAAAATAAAAGCTGTACAATAAAAAATGGCACACAGTATCAAATTATTGTAGATTCATAGTCTTTAAAATTAAAGAAATCGGTGGAGATTTTAGGAGTGTGATAATGATTGATAACGATTTGAATACTGGCATATCAAATTGGTTTTTCAGTCATACCAGTATTTTTTTTACACTAATTACATTCACTGTATAAGCAAAGGTTTTCACAAGTTTATAATTTATTTTTGTAATGCATCTAGTAACGAGAAAGGTTGGTAATGAGCAATAGTGTTGTGATCATCCTGGTGAGTGTAGTCT